CGCCAGTGGGACCTCGATGGCAGCACAACCTTGACCAGCCTTGGCCTAGCGGAGTTGAAGCTGCCCATACGATAGATCTCCACCGGACGGCATTCGACCCTGAGCACCTCCAGGATATTGCACACCTTTTGCTCAAGATCCTGTTGCCTCTCCTGGTAGCCGACATCCCCCTCAGCCTCGCCGACCCCGCTAAAGACCACACTCCGAGCCCTTTTCTCGGCGCTCGGATCAATAGTGGTCACCCCCGACACTTTTTCACAAAGGAGGGCAAGCAACTTGTCAATCAATGGATCACTATTCCTCTCACTTATGCAATCGATCAAATTTTCAATCGACATTTCGCTGAAGTCAGACATGACCGTTTGACTACTAGCATCGGCATAATCCCTTTGGGAAGATGAAGATGGACTAGTAGACGAAGTCTTTTTAGAGGTACGCGTACTTCTGGTCATGACTGATGCAACAAAAAGATTGAAAAATCAAACGATCACAAGAAAATGAGCAGCAATGCAGTGAGCAGCAACGTGTGCCACAAAATCACCAACAAGCAAATAAGAAAAACACCACAGAGGATAAAAAAGGAGAGGAAGGATTGAGAGGAATGATAGGCAGGATATATGATTAGATAGATTATCGACCTACCCCACGCGCGAAAGAGTCACAAGATCGATTGGCAACCACCACAAGTAGGAAGAAGATAAAATTAAACAAAACAAAAATGGCGGAATATGAGAGAGTGGTGCCAGAAACAATAGTGAGAAGAGAGGAAGGAGTGGAAGCGAAAAATGAAGAAGAAACACGACAAAATCAGAAAAAACTACTGAGGAAAGAGGGGCGCTGTGACCGCTAAAGGAGATCCGACCGCTCAGCGCGCCCGCAGTGATAATTCTTGATAGTATATAGAAGATAGATACAATATAGAAGCATTGGTAATCTAGTGGTATAAATCCGACAAGGTTTCTGCACTGCTGCTTCCCGCGCGCGGTCACTGTAACGCCGCAATGCGACGTTATCCATTTGGCAGCCCGCACGTAACGAGCGCCCCCCTCTAATAAGTATGGTAGGCTGGGTAGAATCGTTTTCGCATTCAAATAGCATCTAAACATATTAGCATATAATAGCAGTAGCATATTTAGCCCAAAATTTTTTTTTGCAAAATCAATACAAACTTTTGGGTGAGTGACTTTTCATACGATGAGCAATTCCGAAGTGCGAGGTGTGAACACCTACGGCTAAGTGTCAAGTCTCGCACCTCCGTGTCTAGTATACTGTAGAGGGGGGAGGGAGGGGGACTTTTCATACGAATGCCTCCACATCATCTTTTGGCAAGGATCCAGTAAAAACTGGCACCATGCCAGGTTTGGGCCTGCTGGCTCCATTCCAAAAAAACATCTACATAGATTAGCTTTTGCTTTTGCGATTAGCCACCGCGAATTTGGATAAATTTGGAAAACTTGAATACTGTATGGGTTCAAAAAGTGTTTTGCTGTGAAAAATAACACTATAATCGTTCCACTTACGAATTTTTTATTATTCAAGTCGACATAATTCGGTCTCTTTTGCAAACGTTTTGAACTGATTTGAGTATTGTCACATGCCTCTCCGACCTTTCAGCATGACCTGGAAGTGCTACTCTTCTCATAGGGAATATTGGAGGGGAAAGACGGTCAAGAGGCGCGATTTTTCTGGGTGTCATCAACTTAAACTTAAACTTAACTCAACTTAAACTCCAGTTTCATGCTATGGGAAAATTCAAAAAGTGCCGGACAAAGTTCATTGGCTTACTAGCTGTTTGAGGTAACCACTTGATAAGTTTGACGACTTTTGCTAGAAAACTGACAGAATTATCTACAAAATTGCTGTTAACTGCAATTTTATGTGTTTTTGACCTTTAACAATTTTTTTTGAAATCGATTTCAAGATGATGAGATTGAACAATCCCTAAATTCCCCATTATATTTCTTTCGAAATTTCAAGTAATTCTAGAACTTCATAAAACACTAAATATGTGCTCATCTGGCAATAGGAATCGCGCCTCTTGACATATCTACACCCATTGGAGGGTATGCGACTCGATGAAGCAAACTATTCATTACCACAATTGTGCCAGTTGCTTGCGAAAATGAATTCGTTGTGGCCTGACGATTTTTACTATGATACGCTATTTCAACCCGATAAGCTTTATACAACAGAAAAAATCAGGATATTCTTTAGTTTACGCATTTTTGATAATAAACGTTTCATTTTAGTCCATTGTAATCGATAACTGGACGTATTATCAGCACCCTAGCATACGCTAGAAGGTCAAAGTGATCGGGGAGCGTTCGTATGAAAAGTCCCCCTCCCCCCCCCCCTCACCTAGGCGTAGTGGAGAATCTTACTCATTACGTGGATGGAGAGGTGCGATGTAGGTGTGAGGTAGGTGCGAAGGCTAGGTGCGAAGTCCCCGATCGTATGAAAAGTCCCCCCCCCCCCAAACCTTTCCAAAGAAAAATCTTTACATTGATTATCATGGACACCCAGTGGCGTACCCAGGATTTCGGCTCGGGGGGGGGGGGGACGCGACAAAAAAATTTTTTTAAAGAAGGTGCGTGGCGTTAGCCACGCACTCCGAAAAAATTTTTGGGGTGCTTCTCAAAACTTTTGCGGGTCCCTGACCCCTAAAATCTGGAAAAAGGGGGTGTGGCGTTAGCCACGCCCCCGAAAAAATTTTTTTTACAAGGCTAATTTGATTTTTTAAAAATTTTCAAAAATTATTTTAATTATTTACAAAAATAAACAAGTCACCTGCACATTTTTATAACCCATATAAGTAACTTTCAAAAATTTCGCGACCCATTCTCGGAGGGGGGCGCGCGCCCCCCCCGCCCCCCCCCCCCTCGGTACGCCACTGTGGACACCCGAACATGAATCAACACAATTTTAGGAACTTTCATGTTGAACAGTTACTCAGGTTCTAGAAAAAATCGTTGAAAATAATTTTTCGGTTGTAACATGAGTCTTACTCCAGAACAGGCGACCGCATTAGCACCATATTATATTTTACATATCCCACACAGATTCCGTGACTCTCTATTTGGCAAAGCAAGCTCTACAAGGTAGTGCGTTGCATTTGCATGGAAGTTGAACTACGCAGTTGTAAGCGAAAACTAGGAAAACTCCAAATGTGAGTCGAAGTCGAAGCTCCGTCAGAAGACACCTGTAGCTTGCAGTTGGTACACAATCAGACGTACATATATACACTTATCACGGCTAGAATTCAAAAATAAAAAGAGTTTTCTTTTCTCCGCCCACACCGCCTCATGGTCAAAAGATCGCTTTGGAATTTCCTTCCCTAGGTTGCAAGGGAACATGTCCCGAATGGCATCCTTCATAATTTCTGGTCTGTCACTTTCCACCCATTCTTATTCATTCAGAAAATTTGAGAACTATCCTCCAAGCTTGCACAACCCGTAATGAAATTAGTCAGTGGGCCGAGCAAGAAGTTCGCAGTAACATGGCATCTAATCTAAGAAAGAAATCAGCTGATAAAAAATTCTTATCAACAATTGCTGTGATTCTGGTCCTGCTGAACTGCATACCCAAAAGCGTCGATTGTCAATAAGAGCAAAAGTTTAGGGAGCCCAATTTTTTTTGCCAAAAAATGATGAGTAGTGTGTTTTGAAGCTATGCATTTTTCAAATATTCATGAACTTGTCTCCGCTGTTGAAAAAAACAGATCACCGTTTGCTTCTTTTTTATTCATCACATCTCAATAGCCACAGCGAAATGTATCTGCCTCTCAGTCAGCTTGTTTTTCATACTTTTTTGCTTGTTACTGACAAATCGTTGTTGCAGTGACCCTTCTGACTTCCAAAACAACAACCTTTCTAATCCATCTCGACTAAGGAGACCGAGTGTTTTACCTCATTTTGTTGATTACTAGAGTTTCACATTTTCATCCTTTGCTATCATCAAATTATCCACGTTTAAGCAGTGACCTTTCTAATTAGTGCCAGTAGAAAGCCGATTGTATGGAGAGAAACTGTCGCCCGAATGTGCGAGACAAGTGCGACATAAGCGCGAGGTAGGCTCTAAGGGATTATTGTCTCCCAAGGGCGCGCCTGGAGAAGAAGCGGCGCTCCTTTGGAGGATTCTGCATGTCCTCCTATTAGGAAAGACTCAATGCCCTCAGTGATGTGTGTTATTTCAAAAAAAAACCTTGGCTGGGTCATATCAGCGCGTACTTTGACATATTCTCAAAATTGAATTTAGAAAAATTTCATTACGGGATCACGACGTATCTCTGCATTTGGCATTCTGACTCTATAATATAAATTCGGTTTTTGTGAAGTAGTCATTTTTTGCCTCCAAAAAATGTTCAAAAAATCAAGTCGCTCTTGATATTGTACAAAGCATACTTCGATGTTGAAAAAGCGATTTCAAGGACCTATAAACCTGAATTTCAGTCTTGTTATGAAGAAGGAAATTTCAAAAACCTCTAAATTCGAATTAATCTTGGCGGGGATTATCGGTGCTGAACCTTGACTTTGCAATAAACAAATCTCACTACTGAGAAGGCAACCACGAAAACCCTTAAATCGCAACTCTTGATTGGAGCAATTTCGCTATTAAGCCTTGATTTCGAAGCTTTCTTTGAAATCCCGGCTTCAGTATCTAAAGCAACATTAGATAAAAGGTTGGGCTTGCACTTGACATCAGGATTTGTTCGGGCCGCAGCTATCACGTGATTCCTGTTCTAGAGCAACAGCGTTGAATAAAAACTGAGATTTTGCACGATCTAGGATGCCTGTACTCCCCTTTTCAAAATTTTCCGTAACGAGCTCGCAATAAATTTGCAAAGCTGTTTGAAAGAAAGTTCAAGAGAAGGGCGCTAGCCACTCTCCCCCCCCCCTTTCAAAATTGCACCTCCCCCACCCCTCAAAAAAAATTCTTTGGAGCGTCACAACGATTACGTGAGAGTGATTGTGGCTATTCACTAGTACGTAACTTGTCTCAAGGTCAACCGGGGCAGATGGGTGCGCCTGGCAATCCTGGTCGTTCGTTCACAGTGCAGATTGGAAGCCGGGGCCCGAAGGGACTTCCTGGCAGACCTGGAGCGCCTGGCCAACCTGGTGCTAATGGTTACCGACCTTCTCAAGGACCTCCCGGACCTATGGGAGCGATGGGCCCACCAGGCAAAGTGGGTCCTCCAGGACCAGAAGGAGCTCCCGGCTATGTAGGTGCTTGACGTTGTATATGTTAGAGTTTTATACTACTTCTCAACGAACAACACCTGACGTCAAGTAGAATTTCAGGCTGGAGTGCCCGGAGAGCCTGGAGAGGACGGAGAGTATTGTCCATGCCCTCCAAAAAGTGCAGGGATAGATAGATATCAGCCCATGCCAAATTATCAAACAGTCTCACCCGCTGCTTATCAATCAATCAAGACACCACCCTACCAAGTGAATGTGCCTTCACCATCTTACCGGATTGAATCTCCATCAAGTTACAATTACGGTATGTCCAGTTTAGCCCTTGATACAGCTTTCCGTAAAAATAGAAATTTTCTAGATATTGTTCAACTGTTTTAAGCCGTAACAGGTTTTTAAAGGAACGCTTTATTTACTGCCCGACGTCTCGGCTGAATGCCGTCTTCAGGGGCCTGAAAGCGAGTCAATCACTCTTTAATCAAACGATCTAGACCACCAGACACCTCCTCCAAACCGTACACTTGACTCATCTATTGTGACGCAGATAAATTCTCAAGTTGAACAGCTTACCAAGTGTTCCTGGTGAGGAGCGTAAGGGTGTTAGCTCTCTCTCACGGTCGCCCACAGCAGATGATGACAAAATGAGCGGTCCGAATAAGTACGACACGCTTAAATAGTGTAGGCCACTCGTAGCTCGCAAAATGGTAGAAACGGCTTCAGATCACTAGTGATAGACAAATGTTCGTTCTTGCTGTTCATTTTAGGATTACGAGCAAGTATGAATGAAGCCTCTAACGCTTTTCGAGCAGCAATATGTTCTTCGTCAGCAAAAATGCAACACTGGATTTCAAAATCATCTCCTCCATGGTCCTCTTTCCTACGCTTTCCAAGAGGACTTACGAGACTTTGTCTTCTCTTACTCGCCAGATGTTCGCTGACACGTATGTGAAGTGGTCGACCAGTTTCGCCTATGTAAATGGCATGGCATATCTTACATTCTAGCTGGTAAATCACTCCGCATTTCGAACAGTCTCCTAACCTCTCATCTGTGCAAACAACGCAGTTATGCATTACGCATTGCCTGTTATACAATCTATTGTGGACCAGTTGCTTTTTGATGTTGTTTTGGGGTATGTTCACTAAAACAACATCATCCGCCAATTGCGCTTGTATTAGACATTGCTTGAAAGCGTTGCTTATTCTATCGGACACGAACGGTAAGCATAGCGATATACGTGATCGAGTCTGACTGCTAGCGTTCGAGCATGTTCTCTTGCGAGGTTTGGACTGCAGTTGGAACCATTCTTAGCAACTATCTCGTATGCCAGCTTCGTAGATTCCAGTCTTTCAACTTCACCGCTGCAAACATGGCGCGCTGTTCTAAACATATTGCGAATAATCGCTCGTTTTACAGCGGATGGATGCGCAGATGTGGCATGCAGAATTATATTCTTAGAACTCTCCTTCCGATACCATTTGACGTGTGCTGCTCCGTTTTCCAACATCACCTGCGTATTTGGATATGGTAGCCAGCCATCGTGTGGTCTCTGTCTTGTCAAGCTGATGTACCGTGATTGTTCATTGAGAATTCTAAAGCACTCATCCATTTCGGATTGAGTTGCAGTAGCAATGTAACAATCATCGATGTAACGGCAGTACATCAGGGGACATCGCAATAATACCGGCTCCTCTATTTTGCTCATAAAGCAAATAGCGAGCGCGGGCGCTAGTCTTTGTCCCATCGCTAGTCCTCTTAGTTGTGCATAATATTGTCCCGACCATTTGAAGACGTTGCATGCCAAGCACTGCAGGTCGACCACTTCACGTACGTGTCAGCGAACATCTGGCGAGTAAGAGAAGACAAAGTCTCGCAAGCCTTCTTGGAAAGCATGGGGAAGAGGACCATGGAGGAGATATTTTGAATTCCAGTGTTGCATTTTGGCTGTCGAAGAACATATTGCTGCTCGAAAAGCGTTAGAGGCTTCATTCATACTTGCTCGTAATCCTAAAATGAACAGCAAGAACGAACATTTGTCTATCACTAGTGATCTGAAGCCGTTTCTACCATTTTGCGAGCTACGAGTGGGCTACACTATTTAAGCGTGTCGTACTTATTCGGACCGCTCATTTTGTCATCATCTGCTGTGGGCGACCGTGAGAGAGAGCTAACACCCTTACGCTCCTCACCAGAAACACTTGGTAAGCTGTTCAACTTGAGAATTTATCTGCGTCACAATAGATGAGTCAAGTGTACGGGGTTTGGAGGAGGTGTCTGGTGGTCTAGATCGTTTGATTAAAGAGTGATTGACTCGCTTTCAGGCCCCTGAAGACGGCATTCAGCCGAAACGTCGGGCAGTAAATAAAGTGTTCCTTTAAAAACCTGTTATTACGGCTTAAAACAGTTGAACAATATCTACAAAGCATGCCAAGGTTTTACAAAAAGGAGACATACAGTCTACTAGAAATTTTTTTCCTGTCGTTTCACTTGCATCACTAATTGACGAGATAATCGATACGGGGCTGCAGGGCAAAGCTTTGGCCATATATAGGCTGTCCAACCAGCATCGGTCATGTGACATCGCGCCTGCGGCGACTTGCGACGGTGCGGTTTGACGCGTGCGAACACTGCTACGCGTTAAGGCGCGTCGCATGCGACCGTGCGTCTTCGCAAGGCATGACAGCGCGAGATACCGATGCGGGTTGGTACAGCCTATATCTGTGACAAATTTTTTTTCATAATTTCGAGTAAAGTTTTCTTGGCTTTGATGGAGACTGTCGGCAGGTCGTTTACTGATTGACTCAAATTACAGAACCAGAACAAATCATACTAGCTAATGGGAACTACATACTCATTCAAGGAGGTATTATTAGGATGGTGCAAAAGTAATGAGGGTTTTTCCAGGTCTTGCTTCAGTTTTTTTTTCATCAAGGTTCCTTCCTTGACATAAACTAGTACAATGTTGAAAAGCTCTCTTCATGCTCTGTCTAACGGTGCTCAAAATAAGCTTTTAGGCATATTTGTTAGAATTTTACTGAGCTCTACATAACCACATTCAAAACCAAAATTACATTGTGTTAGGTTGAACCGAAAGTTCTGTCGCACCATTTCAAAAAAATCATAACTTCTTTCCCTCACAACGGTTTTGCACAATTCAAATTTTATCTGAAAGAGTAAAGCATGTAGTTTCCAAAAGTTCTCTGAAGACTTTCCAACATGCTCGGATTGCAGAGATAAAAATGAAAGAACGAGATCATCCGAAATTCGGAATTTTTAAGCAAGAATTCTAAAAATTCAGAAAGTGTGCGATAAAATCCAGAAAAGCCATTATCCTAATTTTTTTTACATTTGATTACTATCTGAGTCAAGTTTGCGCTGATCGAGCCCTTCTTTCAAAAGTTATGATTTTTTGAAAAATAATGCAGAAAAATCAATTTCCTAAGTTTTCTTAAGAAATGGATTTTTTGGCATTTTTTTCAAAAATTCATAACTTCTCAAAGAAGAACTCGATCAGCAAAAACTTGACTCAGATAGTAATCAAATGTAAGAAAAAATAGGATAATGACTTTTCTGGATTTTATCGCACTGTTTCTGAATTTCTAGAATTCTTGCTTAAAAATTCCGAATTTCGGATGATCTCGTTCTTTCATTTTTATCTCTGCTGACTGAGCACGTCGGAAGCTCCTCAGGAAGCTTTTGGAAACTACATGCTTTACGCTTTCAGACAAAATTTGAATTGCGCAAAATCATTGTGATCGAAAGAAGCTTTGATTTTTTGAAAATGGTGCGACAGACTTTCGGTTCAACCTAATATTTACTTTTCTGGCCAAAATTCATGCGCGATTGGCATTCATCCGAAAATTTAGCTATCGCATGTCGTAGAAACTGTCTACATCATGCACACTCAATCATGTTTCCTGATATCATCCTAGCTACAATATCGACACCTCAACGTGGGTAATGTTACGTTCATACTGCGGTCTATGGATTCCATGGATTACATTAAAAAAACAATTGCCAAACTTCGCTTATTTTTGTAAGCATAAGGGTAGGGAAGGGAACTTCTTTTGCCAGTTTTTTTTTGCAGGAATGCTTAGCTGTTCAGTACCCAAAAAACCAAAAATCTCTATAACTTGGGACTTTGTGAGCTATGAAAAAATGTTGGAAAAAGCTAGCAATTTTGCTTTTGTTTCCTTCCTGCAAATCTTCTTCGTCCAAACCCTTTCTAACTTTTCTTGTACTAATGGCTTGGGCAACAAGATAGACTATCTACCATCTATAATAACAAACTTCAAAAGGAGTTATGATTACAAAAGGAGTTATGATTCTTCAAAAATGAGGTTTAAGAAAAAAACTTTTTCGTTTTTCAATCCATATTTTTTGCCCGTTCAAGATATTGGTATAGACAAATGTGCGCTGTATTGCGAAAGGCTTGCTGCTTCCGAGGGTTTTGTAGCATTAAAAAATGTAGATTTTTCAGAAAGTTATAATACGTCAAAGTGGAAGCTCGCAGCACGCTCATTATTTTTGCACCAACCTAATACAAAGACCACATCCAAACCACATTCTTCCTCTATCTAACTTGTGCGGCTGCGCATAAGGAAACCACGAATGAAAACAGTAGGAAAGCATCTTTTGGAAGACATTAGCTGTTTAAAGCGACCCGTAGCAGCGCATGTAGTAAGAATCTTCCTTGTATCGGTTATACAAACCTTAGTATCAAAAGGGCAGATGTCACCGCCGAATCCGAGATAATTAACTAATTGTAAGTTCTGGGCTTGATTACAGTAAAAACTTTTAGGTGCACCGGGGCCGCAATCAAGCAAGTATGGCATAAGTGCATTCACTTCTAATGTTGGGCCTCATAGCGGATATGCTCCTGAGACGCAGTCAGAGTATAGAAGAAGGTAACAGTGTCGCACTAATAATCGGCACGTCATACTAATGTTATCAAGTTGTTATGTTATTATTGATGCATGAGTAGTAATTAATATGAGTATGATTAATACCTATGATTGTCATTAATATTTAGTATGCAAGAGTAGTTTACAATTAAGTAAATCATTTAATTAAAATCTTAACTTTTTAGAGTGGTAGCGCGGATGCTGCGAAGGCGACGGCTTCTGTCTCAGAAGAAACAAAAGTTTTGAGGAAGGTGCCTGTCTTCTATATAGATACAGTATAATCGTGATTTGAAATAAATACAAAACTTGGTGTATCTTAAGAAGTCGGTCTTCATGAGGCTTTGCATGCTGGCGATAGTATCATTGTCTTTATCTTTATCGTTACATTCCGAGTGTACCACTCAAATTTCAAAAATAGAATGGCTTGAGGCCACGTTCCAATGTTCAAAGAACAAAAAAAAACTACTACTGCTTTACATCAACGTTTGAGCAAAAGAATCTTGATAAGGATAACGTACTCATTACGAACAAAAGAAAATACAGGCCAATAATAAACTACGCAGTAATTGGCCTACAGTACTTTGAACTACGTATACAAGCCTATCAAACTTTCTGAGACTAGAAAACGAGTACTGCTAGAATGGCTACCTGCGATATACAGTTGTACTTGCGATCCACCTCTATCTAGACAATTTACCACCTGCAATTGCTTAGCGACAGGTCCGCGCCAGGGAAAACTATGGAAGCATACCTTCGATACATAGAGCCATGTACTCTGGTGACCTTCACTTTGATCGACATGAGAGGACACAACCTTTATCAAAAACAGAAGTCGGGGATGGAATAAATGTGCATGAACTAATTGTGGTAATTAATATCTCAGAAACAGCCCAGCAGCACCGAAACATTGCGTATTATAGCCTTGTTTGTGCCAAAAACAAGGTTTTTGTGTACATTTTCATAGAATTCAGGACAATACTTCTCAGTTGACCTCTTTTGGACTACGATTGAGGTCTAAAAACTAACGAGAGCTACTGGTTTTCGATAAAAACGAGAAAGTCTTGCGCACACAGTTGTGCACGAAAGTGCTGGGTTATCTCATTAAGAAGGGAATTTCTGGGCTTGCGACTTTATCAGTGTTTCTAGTCGTGTCATGAGGATTAGAATGATACATATTGCAAGTTTTCGTTGACACCCCATTGAGATCTACGACCAGAGCCAAATGCCCCATCGGCTCCGGTCTTGTTCCTCTGCTCGTCTACGTCTTCGCCTCTCTACCCCAAACAGGGGCACGGGACATTTGTCTGGTACTCTCTTCCTCGTTGTTGTGTACATAATTCTAGCAACTGTAAATCGTACGAAGCTATTCATTTCTACTTAATGCTGATAACGTCACAAAACCCCATTTCATAATGTGAACGAGAAATCTGACAAAAATCCTATTCTCCTAAACCTCTTGCGTTACTTCAGTTCAGTCGTTAAAGGCAGCGTCCAGGCAGATCCGAGTTCGACGACCACGCCCACTTCCCTCGAATGGCCAACCCTTTATGAACGAAATCTCCTCAGCCATGACGTGTTTTCACATGACCAACACAGTCGAACTTACAGCGTTTACCTGTTAATACTTGCTTTGACAAGGATAACAAGAAGCACTCGTCCGGATTTTCCTAAAATAGCCCCAAAAGGTGGTTTTCTGAGAAATTCACGCTTTTTGAGTTCCATATTCGGAATCAGCGCCATGGAAAGGCCTGGATAACATAAAAATATAGAAGTCGAGAATCTGCCTGGACACTGCCTTTAAGCCGTTTTAATGCATACAATAGATCTTGCTTCTGTTCATAATGTAGACAACGTAGCGGGGCTAACTTCGTTTGATTGTGGTGAAATATCTGGCAAAAAGCTGCAAAAAGGCGATTTTATCAATATGATTTTATAAAGTCGATGAGAAATTATTTCTTACATGCTTGGGGTATTTTGCTCAGAATTATGAGGCTAACAAAGCCGACAACGTTGCCAGAAACAGAAATTACGAAAAGGGGACAAAATTGCAAAGGACCCATCAAAAACTGGATTCCCCTTGATGTACATTTCGACTTAGAAGATAACAAAATTCTGCGTTTTCATAACTGATTCTTTTCTCTTTATTTTCTTCTTGATAAACACCACTTTCAAAATATGTCTTCAAAAGAATTACAAAGGTTATTAGGTTATGATGAAAAGCTCGTTGAGTCTTTATTGGTGTCGTTTCGCTTTCTCATAAAACCATCTTCACACTTAAGTTACAATATGTGCAGTATAGAGAAGGGAGAAACGCAAAAGAGCGCAGCCGTACCTCATAAAGGAGGTAAGGGTTGACGAGCGGATAGAGCTCTCCTAAGTGGCAGGAGGAGAAGTCCGCGTGAAAATATGCTTTTAGTAATGAATGAAATGTTTTCTCCATTCATGGGCTTGTTGATCAACAATTCAGTATCAGGAATTCAATCATTCCTTCTCTATCATCTATTTTCGGCTGATGTTTCCTAATTTCGGAAGCCTCCATAATCTTCTTCTACACGTTTGCTTTATTGCGATGTAAAATTGTTGTCTTGAACTCTGGGGCTGCTTCCATGGCGTGCTTCAAAATTCTGTGCTTAGAGAAGCTTTTGTTAGGATAGGAATCAGGCTAATCAATGCTCTTATGTGTTCGTTAAACGAAATTGCAATGGCTTCTGGTGTCGCCGGCATATTGTGCTCCACATCCTTCACACGTAATCACATATACACCATCATGCAAATGACAAATGGTTTTCTCAACATTAGTATGAACAGTTATGTACGCACTTCCTTTCATGAACTCTTGTGCAGGACAAAAGTTCCTTGAACGACGGTGGTGCTGGAAATATCGATCTGACTGGCAGCCCAGATTTCTTACCACTTTGTTCAACATCCATGCAGGTCCATCTCTTATGTATGGTACTGCTAGCGGAAGACTGTCCAGACTTGAATAAGGTTTCCAGGTTTTTGTTACGCTCACCGAATTATAAGCGTTATCTTCGGAAATAGTGTTGATATGGTTGTCCACTTTAAAATCAGGGACGAGCATAATTTCTTCTTTGTTTTTAAGATGTTTCGTACCACGTTGGCCTCCATATAGATTGAATGTGCGCTTCGCGATTGTAGTGTGATATTAGAGCTGGCTTCTTAAATCATCGATATGCAGGATGACCTTCACGAACCCTTATCTAATATTCAGAATGGTAACCGTCGTTTTCAGGTTTTTCCGCAATAAAAGAAATGCTGTCGTTGACGCGTTATCCACTTTCTTAAACATTATTCCGACTAGCGGACCTACGGGCCGCTGTAAGTGGGTCGGGGCAGATACATTAGTTTTTGCTTAGATGGGACGGCATCTAATTATAAACGGTGTTCGCATCTCCTCTCTAGAGAAGCTAAATAAATAACAAATCAAACTTTGCACGTAGACACAAAAAAATATCAGATCTTTCCTTCCAAATGCCACCATCAGAATTCAGTTATTTAATACAGCTTGCTTCTTTCGTTGCTTAGTTAAAATCAAAATAATCGCTTCCCTAAAAGGCTGACTAATGCAGATGCATGCTGGGTCTTCATTCCAGGAGCAAAAGTATTTTCTGTGGCTGAAATTCTGTCGACGAGATTTTTACCGTTTTTGGTGGAAATTGTGAGGGAAAACAAAACTTTTGATTCCAGAAACTGGTCAGCCACATAGAACCTCAGACCCAGAGGTGCGATAGGTGGAGCCGGGCCCCCCAAAAGTGAAGGTGGTTCCAGCTACCACTGACCGGCCAAAAGTGAAGGTGGTAGTGCCGGACACTCACCTCCCAAAAACGTCGACGGGGGGGGGGGGGTAACGTCGACTGAGCCTATCCTTCCAGGTCGTTGCCGCAAGTGCGCGGAATATAAGCAAAACAAACGCAAAAAAGATCATTGAAGGCATATTTTTAGGTACACGGCGGCATATTTATTCAAAATAAACGTGTTTAGTAAATGGTGTATTTGGAAGTAAAAGATAGCGGAACTGTACGGATTTTATTAAGTAAATTTTGTCATAACGTACTACAAACAAAGTAGGTCGATCCAGGGAATAACTGCCGAGAACCAGAATTTTGAATAATAAAATAACGATAAATTATGCAAAATTTCCATTTTCATAAATCTTGCGGTTGAAGATGTCAGCAATTGCGACTTCATAGGTTTTGAAGACCAAGTGTTGTTCTACCAGATAGTGAAAGAATTGAGTCGATCTGAGCAGTGGCCGCCGAGAACGAGAATTTTGAAAAATTAAGCGATTTTAGGTTACTTAGTGACAGCTGACGTTTAGACTCCTATAAATCTGGAATGTGAAGGAGTACAATGTTGCGACTTCATAGGTTTTGTAGAGTAAGGATTGCTGTATCGGAATATATCCTAGCCGTACCGATCCACTGAGATACCGCCGAGATCCAGGGTCTTGAAAAAGCAGGTAAAAATCCGCTTTTTGAACTTCAACAGCTCATAACTTCTCCAGAATTGCATGAATCATGTTGCGACTTCATAGATTGGATTCTCCTCATCAAGAGCTTTCAGATGATATATAATATGTGGGGGTTTTGCGCCTCTCACAGCATATGCTCGGGGGTGGAGACTTTTCACCCCAAAGTCTCCACTGGCGGTCTCCGGCCAGTACATTAAATGGGCGAGGTGGAGACTTTGGGGTGAAAAGTCTCCACCCTGGGTTAGAGCCGCAAAAATCTTTGAACCCCCCCCACATATTATATATCATCTGAAAGCTCTTGATGAGAAGAATCTAACCTATGAAGTCGCAACTTGATTCGTGCAATTCTGAAGAAGTTATGAGCTGTTGAAGTTCAAAAGCGGATTTTTACCTGCTTTTTCAAGACCCTGGATCTCGGCGGTATCGCAGTGGATCGGTACGGCTAGGATATACTCCGATAGAGAAATTCTTGCTCTACAAAACCTATGAAGTCGCAACATTGCAAACCTTCACATTCCAGATTTGTAGGAGTTTAAACGTCAGCTGTCACTAAGCAACCTAAAATCGCTTAATTTTTCAAAATTCTCGTTCTCGGCGGCCACTGCTCAAATCGACTCGATTCTTTCACTATCTGGTAGAACAACACTTGGTCTTCAAAACCTATGAAGTCGCAATTGCTGACATCTTCAACTACCAGATATATGACAGTGGAAATTTCGCATGATTTTTCGCTACTTTGTCATTCGAAATACTG